ATGATGATGATGATGGTTGGACTGGATGACCTTTGGAGGTCCCTTCCAACTGTAGGATCCAATCATCATCATCATCATCTTGGATAATAATAATATCAGCACTGACAAAATCACCATCTGCCAGAGGGATCATGTCTGTTGCGGACTCAAATCATAGGAGTCGGGCTGGATGTCCTTTGGGGGTCCCTTTCGACTCTGAGGGTCCTCACCCGTTTCCATCAGCGTCCGCAGGTCCTTCTCCACCACTGCGGCCCGACCGTCAATCTGCCTCTGCTCGGTCTCCAAAGCCCGAAGTTCAGCAAGGACGTATTGGCTGGTGTCTTGGAATTTCTATGGGGAGAGTAAAAAAATCAGAGGCTAGATGGCCATCTGTCGGGACAGATTGGATTGTGTCTTCCTGCCGGGCAGAAGGATGGATTTGAAGGCCTTCGGGGATTTCTCCTAAATCTAGGATTCAATACACTCTTGAAAAGCAAAAGTGTATTAGGACACAGATTTTAGCCTGAGTTGCTGCTATATAATAAATAATAAAATATAATATATAATATATCATAATATATAATATAGTAATTATATATAATACTAAAATATAATAATAAAATATAAGATAATATTTTATATATATAAAATACTATATTATATTAATATATAATATTATCTATAATACTAAAATATAAGATAATATACTAAAATGTAATAATTCATAATAAAATATAGTATGTAATATATTAAATATATAGAATTATAATAATATATTATAATATATAATATAATAATTATAATAATACTATATTTAATATATAATTATCTATAATACTAAAATATAATAATTAATAATAAAATAATATATAATATATTAAAATATATATAATTATAATAATACTATATTATAATATATAATTATAATACTAAAATATAATAATGAATAATATAATATAATATATAATATATAAAATAATATATAATATTATATATATATAATTATAATACTATATTATTATATTGTATTAATATATAATATAATAATAATAATAATAATAATAATAATAATAATAATAATAATAATAATAATAAATTGGAAGCACCATTCAGTCCAATCACATTCTGTCCGGCTGAAAGACACAACCAAAGCCTTCCCGACAGATGGCCATTCAGCCTTTGCTTTCAAAAAGACTCCAAAGAAGCAAACCCTAAGGCAATCTAATCCTCTGACCATAAGGATGTTCTTCCGGACAATTAGGTGGGCTCGCTTTTCCTGCAATTTAAACCCACGGTTGCATTGCAACGAAAAAACAAGCTTGGCTTTCCCAGCGATGCAACCAGAGATCTTCCAAAGTGAAAAGGTCAAGGACGGAAGATGCGCTTGGAAGAATCCCAAAGCTCTGCCCTTCTTGCAAGACGAGAAGCAAACAAAAACACTGTCGCCATCAAGCAAATAAATCCGTTCTTACTGGAATCTCCTCTTCGTTGCCATTGTTCTTGGGGTTGGGGTCCTGCGGAGGTTCCTGGGAGGCGGCCGTCGGAGACGCTGATGGAGAAAGCCATAGAAGTCAGTGCGCATTGAATTAAATTATATGGAAGGAGTACGAGTGGGGCCTTATAGAGGCTGAAGACACCACCCTGAGAATATCTAAGCCTGGAAAACTGAGGGAGCGAGGAGCCCTGTTAGTCTCCTTATTGGCGCGAAGGGGAAAATAACCTAATGAAAAACTAAACTTGTTTTAGTACTCTGTAATAGTGTTGGTTTGTACCACAAAGGCTCACCCATGGTTCAATTGATCTGGACCAAACATAGGGGAATAAAATAGTATGTGTGCAACCACAAGAGGACACTCGATAGCTGGATAATCTAACTCAGAGGGAGAGATGACAAAAACACCAATCAGGAAAGTGGACAAAGAACAAGACGAACTGGACAACCCACTGAATGCTGACATGAGTGACTTAATAAGAGAAATAAAATGTTTTTCAAATAATGTCAATGGTCTTAATTCTCTCTCTAAGAGGAAAAAACCTTTAAACAAATAGAGAAAAATAGTTATGACGTAATCGCACTCCAAGAAACGCATGTTTCACAAAGACGCACAGCCCATCTAACTCACAAAAAAATGGGTAAAGAGTTTTATTCATCCACTCCTGAAAAAAAGAGAGGAGTCATAATATATGTAAACGAAAGAATCCCAGCTCAAATTGCCTTCAAAGATTTAGAGACAAAAGATATTAATATGCAACATTTACACCCCCAATGGCGCAAAAACTAAATTCATGTCAAATTTAAATGAGAAAATTCAAGAACAACAATTTGATAACCTGATAATCCTAGGCGATTTTAACGGGGTCATAGACAATAAACATGACAAATGGAAGAAGGAGCCAAAGCATAAGTATCTCTCTATCTAAAACTCAAAGTATGTATGTTGGTTTGTACCACAAAGGCTCCCACATGGCTCGATCAATCTGGACCAAACATGGCTCAAGATGTCCGTCATGATCCAACTTAAAATATGGGATGGGTTTCAACTTTAAAATCTACCCCATTTGGGATTAGGGCACTGAAAATGAATAAATGGATCTGTATGTCTGCAGTGCTCAGATGCAACCACAAGAGGGCACTCAATAGCTAGATAGGCTAACTCAGAGATGACAAATGGAAGGAGCCAAAGCATATCTATCTAAAAATCAAAGTATGTGTGTTGGTTTGTACCACAAAGGCTCCCACATGGCTCGATCTATCTGGACCAAACATGGCTCAAGATGTCCATCATGATCCAACTTAAAATATGGGCTGGGGTTTCAACTTTAAAATCTACCCCATTTCGCACTGAAAATGAATAAATGGACATGTATGTCTGCAGTGCGCCAATGCAACCAAAAGAGGTCACTCAATAGGCTAACTCAGAGGGAGAGATGATGAATGAAAGGAGCTAAAGCATAAGTAACTATCTGTCTAAAAGTCAAAGTATGTATGTTGGTTTGTGCCACAAAGATTCCCATATGGCTCAATCAATCTGGACCAAACGTAGCTCAAAACGTCCGTCATGACCCAACTTAAAATATGGGATCGGTTTCAACTTTAAAATCTACCCCATTTGGGACTAGGACACTGAAAATGAATCAATGGACATGTATGTCTGCAGTGCTCAGACGCAACCACAAGAGGGCACTCGATAGCTGGATAAGCTAACTCAGAGGGAGAGATGATACATAGAAGAAGGAGCTAAAGCGTAAGTATCTATCTGTCTAAAAGACAAAGTATGTGTGTTGGTTTGTACCACAATGGCTCTGACATGGCTCAATCAATCTGGACCAAACATGGCTCAAGATGTCCGTCATGATCCAACTTAAAATATGGGATGGGTTTCAACTTTAAAATCTACCCCATTTGGGACTAGGGCCCTGAAAATGATTAAATGGACATGTGTGTCTGCAGTGCTCAGATGCAACCACAAGAGAGCACTAGATAGCTAGATAGGCAAACTCAGAGGGAGAGATGACAAATGGAAGAATGAACCAAAGCATATCTATCTATCTGTCTGTCTGTCTGTCTGTCTGTCTGTCTGTCTATCTCAAAGTCAAAGTATGGATGTTGGTTTGTAGCACAACTGCAAAAAGCTGATGAAGAAAAACTACTAAACTGCTGATATTTTCAAATAACCCTGGCATCGCTGGGTACCCGAGCTAGTATTATATATTATTATCATTTTTATTATTATATTATTATCATTCTATTATTATTATTATATATTATTATAATTATTATATTATCATGTTATATAATATAATAATTATTATATCATTTTATTATTATATTATCATTTTATTGTTATTATATTATTATTTATTATTGATATTATTGACTGTGGTTGAAAATGTTTACATAGTCAAAAACAATGACTATTTTCAGTTAAGGAAATGATGTATATACAGTTTTATCATATCTCATCATATTTATTTATTGTATTGTTTTAAGTGTCTTATTTTAACACACTACATAGATTGCAATCAAGTCTTATCAAGCCTTGTTGGGTTTTTTTGGTGTTGTGATATGGCCTAAGGGCAAATCAATAAAATTACTACAGTTAAAGATGCAAACACAATGCACCTTCCTTACGAAGGAAAGTCAACATCTGTCCGGGAACTGATAACCGGCATGTTTTAGCTGCAAAACAGTCAGTCGTTTACAACTTTTTGGAACAACAGCAAGAAAATTGCTATATAAGAGACCTTTCTACTATCCAAAAGTGTGGCAGACAACAGTGGAATGCAGGGTCTTTTCTCTAGGAGAATGAATGAATATCTATATGTGTGAATGCGGAGTAAAGTGTAATATTCCCTTTGTTTCTGTATCCCTATGAGATTAATAATAATAATAATATTAATTCATATTTACCTGGCACGGACTGCTCCGCTTTTGGGGCAACTGGTCGGGGTCTAAATGCCTCCTCGCCGCCACTGTCCTGCGGAAAAAGAGAGATAAAACTTATTATTCTATCAAGTTTTAACGTGTTTTAATTTATTTTAGTTTAGACAAGTCTTAGCATAGTGATTAGTGTCTTATAAATCTGTGTAATATATATATATATATATAGTAATATATATATAGTAATATATATATATATAGTAATATATATTACTATATATATAATTAAATTATATATAATTATATATAATTATATTAATTATGTTATAATATTTATATAATATAATTATATTATATATAATATTATTATATATAATTATATATAATTATATAATATAATATTAATTATATAATATATAATTATATTAATTATATTATATAATTCTATTATATTATATAATTCTATTATGAATAATTATGGTAAATTGAATTTTAATTTGACATTTAATTTAATGCATTTTAAATATTTTTAATATATGCCTATATATATATATATATATATATATATATGCCTTAAATGAAATGGTAAATTAAATATCAAAATATTATTTTGCAATGTTACTTTATTATTATTGCATTATTATTATTAGAAATACATTAAACAGCATATTAAATGCTAGAAATACATTTAAATTAAATTAAAAATAAATAATATTTTGTTGGGTTTTTAAAATTATATTTTTATTAAACACTTCAAAAGGGATATTATTTACACAAAGAGAGGTAGAACAACATGGTAAGAGAGAAAGTGGGAATTACAATTATATATATATATATTGTTATTTAAACTAAATATTGCGAAATTATGGTTTTTTTTCTTGAAGTGACACACCACCTGAATTATGCTCAGTTTTTTGGCGAATTTTGACACACCACGCTCAAAAGGTTGCCCATCACTGGCCTATGTAGTATGGGATTATTTGAACACTCTGCATTAGGAGGAACTTCCTAACTGTAAGGAGAGCTGTTCAGCAGTGGAACTCTCTGCCTTGGAGTGTGATGGAAGCTTCTTCTTTGGAGGCTTCTAAACAGAAGCTGAATGGCCATCTGTCGGGAGTGCTTTGAATGCGATTTTCCTGCTTCTTGGCAGAATGGGAAAATGGGGTTGGACTGGACGGCCCACAACGTCTCTTCCAACTCTACGTGGAAGAAATGGCACAGCATTTCTAGCCAAAGACAAAGAGGATGAAAGAATCCATTTCACTCTCTCCTATGTGACTCTCTCCAAGTATCTGCCTATGTAGTATGGGGTTATTTGAATACTCTGCATTAGGAGGAACTTCCTAACTGTAAGTAGAACTGTTCAGCAGGGGAACTCACTGCCCTGGAGTGTGGTAGGGGCTCCTTCTTTGGAAGCTTTTAAATAAAAGCTGGATGGCCATCTGTTGGGAGTGCTTTGAATGCGTTTTTCCTGCTTCTTGGCAGGATGGCAGAATGGGGTTGGACTGGACGGCCCACAACGAACAGAAAATATATATCATACAGAACTCCCACGACGAACACAAAATATATATCAGTGATTGGTTGGGGGGGGGCGCCAAAATACGGTTTGCTTACCGTTGAAAATTACCTAGGGCCGCCTCTGGCTACTCACCCTTTTGGTCGGATCCTCGTCCGCCTCGTCCATCGACAAGGAGTCGCTCTTGAGCCGGGAGCGCCGCTTCTTCACCAGATCGGCGTCGCGGACGTGGGCGAAAGCGGACTTGGCCGCGTGGGGACGTGGCGGCGCTACCGGGCTCGGGCTTCCGGCGGAGAGGGTGCGCTGCAAGGGCCGTTCAACGCTGCCCCGGGACGCCATGCGTTTCAACCGCGGTGGAGGAACCAACTTCTCGATATTGCTCGTTGACGTCGTCCCATCGCCTTCCGCGCTTTGGTTGCCCGATTCCTCGCCGCTGTTCTCCTCTGGCTTTGCGGCGCATCCGGGGTCGGAGAGCGCAGGGCTTTGACCGGTTCCGTTCGCCACAAGCGAGATCCCAGTATCCACTTGTGCCCCATTGATCAAAACATTTCTATCTGAAGATACTTCCTCTGCTTTATAGTCCACTGTTTCGAGGGATTTACCTTCTCCGGACGGCTTTGCAGCACCGCCGTTGACAACTCTACTTTCCACCCCGTCAACCGTCTCAGAAACATTGCTGCCTTTTCCTTTCCTGTCCACAGAAATGGGTTCGTTGGGAGGATTTGCACCTTGAACTTTCCCAGAATGGTCCGGACCACTATCCTCCGGGTCTTTGCCGCTCGAGACCTTGGCGACCATCAAATCCTCGACCCGTTGCATCTGGAGATGCTGAGAATAGAAGACGGATGGGTCCAAGGTGGCGGAGGAGTCCGTGTCGAATTTGCCCACTTTGTACGTCGTTTGGCTCGCGTGGCTCGCGAGCTGCACCACGTTCAGCTCCTGCCCCGTGAAATGCGCTCGGATTTGGCAGAGATAGGTCAAGACAATCAGCCGATCCGGCACCGTCAGGAAAACCATGTCGGCCGGATCCATCAGCCGAGAGATGCCCAGCGAGGCGAAACCATCGAAGGCCTTGTTGCAGGAGAAAAAGAGAGAGAGAGAGAGAGAAACTAAGCTGTGGATCTATTTCTTTTTTCCCCCAGCAAAGCTGTGAGAAATGAAGCTTTTGTGCAGCTGGGAAAGAGAATCCCACACGTCCTGCTGTTAGGCTTCAAACAGTGAGACTGAACAAAACAGTAAGACTGAACCCTCCTTTCCCTCCAAAGCCCTGGGGAAAGGGGCGGGCCTAAACGCTTTAACAATGATTGACAGGTTGTTGCAGGAGAAAAAGAGAGAGAGAGAGAAACTAAGCTGTGGATCTATTTCTTTTTCCCCCCAGCAAAGCTGTGAGAAATGAAGCTTTTGTGCAGGTGGGAAAGAGAATCCCACACGTCCTGCTGTTAGGCTTCAAACAGTGAGACTGAACCCTCCTTTCCCTCCAAAACCCTGGGGAAAGAGGCGGGTCTAAACGCTTTAACAATGATTGACAGGTTGTTGCAGGAGAAAAAGAGAGAGAGAGAAACTAATTGGCCTCTTACTCGTTTTCTCAACAGCCCTTAATAGCAAGATACTCGCGCTGAGTCACACAGGAGAGAGCGAGAGGGATTACTTACTTTTTCTTACATAATAATAATCATCCTCCTTATATAGCCACCTGCTGATAGTGTTACGAGTAAGTTTTAGTTTTAGAATACGAGCTTCTCGAATTCTTCTGCAGAGGTGTTTAGAGTGACCTTTAGGTCTTTTTCTGAAGGTGCACAGACTATGTTATCATCAGCATATTGATGATAGATAGATATCATCTATCTATCTAACACCTCCAATAGATAGAAATGGCATAGCGTTTCCAATCATAGAACAAAATACTATTTGATGAGCACGTGGTATACTGATAGCACCTAGGTAATGGTCACAACATCTGTTATAGAACTCCAATATGCTGATGATAACATAGTCTGTGCACATTCGGAAGAAAATCTACAAACCACTCTAAACATCTTTTGCAGAAGCATACGACAAGCGCAACCTCTCACTGAACATTGAGAAAACCAAAAGTTATTCTTAACACTATCAGCAGGTGGCTCTATAAGGAGGATTATTATACTTATATAAGAAAAATGAAATAATCCCTCTCGCTCTCTCCTGTGTGACTCAGCGTGAGCATCTGCCTATATTGTATTTGACTATCTGATTGTCTGCAAGTACAAGACAGAAAGAGGATCTGCGTCTCTTGTTTGTACATTTGTATATATCGCAACGGTGAAGATGAAAGACTCTGGATATTTTGGATGAAATCATGATTTGCAAACTATAAATCACATCCCGTACCAGCACATCCCGTGTCTGGAGATGCCCAACTCACCAGTTTATTGTTCTGCTTGATATCAAGGGGGTCCAGAGCTTCATAATCGCTGGGGAAGGGAAGCACAAAAAAAGTCTGTAAGTGGGTTGACTCCTTCCCAAACACAGAAGTACTATCGCCTATACTAGTGGTTCTCAACCTGGGGGTCGGGACCCCTGAAGGGGTCGCCAAAGATCATCACGGACAGTATTTTCTGTTGGTGACGGATTTCTGTGTGGGAAGTTTGGCCCAATTCTATCGTTGGTGGACTTCAGGATGCTCTTTGGTAGTAAGTGAGCTATAAATCCCAGCGACTACAACTCCCAAATGTCAAGGTCTATTTTCCCCGAACTTCACCACTGTTCACATTTGGGCATATTGAATATTCGTGCCAAGTTTGATCCAGATCCATCATTGTTTGAGTCCACAGTGTTGTCTGGATGTAGGCGAACTATAATTCTAAAACTCAAGGTCAATCAATGCCCACTAAACCCTCCCAGTATTTTCTGTTGTTCATGGAAGTTCTGTGTACCAAGTTTAGTTCAATTCCATCATTGGTGGAGTTCAGAATGCTCTTTGATTGTAGGTGAACTATAAATCCCAGCAACTACAACAATTTTGACACACCAAGCTCAAAAGGTTGCCCATCACTGGCCTATACTGTGCCCCCTTGAATCTACCCCAACATTGCCCATTCCAAATAACTTGTGGAAGTTGGAGAATATATAAAATATAATATTTATATAATAAACTAGCTGTACCCGCCACGCGTTGCTGTGGCCAACCTTCCCCCATCTCCCCTTCTTTCCCTCCTTCCTTCACTCCCTGTTTCCTTTCCTTCTCTTTCCTTCTCTCCTTCCTTCCTTCTCTATCGCTTTCCTTCCTCCCCCCTTTTTCTTTCCTTCTTCTCTTTTCTTCCTTCTCTTTCCTCCTTTCTTCCTCCCTCTTTCTCTACATTTTTTTCCTTCCTTCCCTCCCATCTTTCCTTCTCCTCTTCTTTCTCTATCTCTTTCCTTCCTTCCTCCTTTTTCTTTCTCTTCTGCTGTCTCTCTTTTCTTCCTTCTCTCTTTCCTTCTTTCCTTCCCTCCCTCTTTCTCTACATCTTCCCCCCTTCCTTCGCTCCCTCTTTCCTTCCTTCTTTCCCTTTCTTTCCTTCTCTCCTTCCTTCCTTCTCTAACTTTCCTTCCTTCCCTCTTTTTCTTTCCCTCCCTCTTTCTCTCCTTTCTTCCTTTTGCCTTTCCTTCTTCCTTCCTTCCCTCCCTCTTTCTCTCCTGTCAGGGTGATTTCAATGCAATATTCCTGCTTCTTGGCAGAATGGGGTTGGACTGGATGGCCCATGAGGTCTCTTCCAACTCTTTGATTCTATGATTCTTCCTTGACAGATTAGAAGGGGGCGTGGCTTGGAGGTAACGTGAGGAGGGTAGAGGGAGGAGGGGAGGGGGGTGGGTTTAGAAGGGGGCGTGGCTTGGAGGTAACGTGAGGAGGGTAGAGGGAGGAGGGGAGGGGGATGGGTTTAGAAGGGGGCGTGGCTTGGAGGTAACGTGAGGAGGGGAGAGGGAGGGGATGGGTTTAGAAGGGGGCGTGGCTTGGAGGTAACGTGAGGAGGGAGGAGGGGAGGGGGGGTGGGTTTAGAAGGGGGCGCGGCGCGTGTGTGCCGCGCGGGGGGGAGAGGGGGCGCACACGCGCGCGTGTGTGCCGCGCCAGGGGAGTGAGGGGGCGCGCGGGCGCGCGTGCGTGCGTGTGCCGCACCGGAGGGGGGAGAGGGGGGGCGCGCGCACGCGCGTGTGCCGCGCCGGGGTGTGTGAGGGGGACGCGCGCGCGTGTGTGTGTGCCGCGCGGGGGGGGTGAGGGGGCGCATGCGGCGCGTGTGTGCGTGTGTGTGCCGCGCCGGGGGGGGAGGGGGGCGCGTGCGCGCGCGTGTGTGCCGCGCCGGGGGGGGGTTGTGGGTGCGCGCGCGTGTGTGCCGCGCCGGGTGGGAGAGGGGGCACGCGTGTGTGTGTGTGTGCGCCGCGCCGGGGGGGAGGGCCGTGCGCGCGCGCGTGTGTGTGCCGCGCCAGGGGGGGAGGGTGAGGGGCCATGTGTGTGCGCGCGCCAGGGAGTTTGCGCCAGTGCGCATGCTCAGTTGCTTTGCCGTTTATTGTGGTTGTTGTTGTGTGTTTTTGATTTCTGAGTGGATTAGTTTGTACCTTGTTGGTTGCCCTTGGGGCATGGGAAGTTTGGTGGAGTTTCGTTGGGGGGTTTTTGAGTTTTGTTTCCTCATACGACGCCAGGAGGAAATTTATATATATAGATAATATATATATATATATATACATACATAGAATATAAATATATTAATAAAATATAATTATAATAATATAATAAATATATTATTAACTATTATATATATGAGTAAATATGAATATATTAATATTAATATAATATATTAATATAATACGTTATTAATATAATATATATTATATAATATATTAATATAAATATTAAAATAATATATAGAAATATAATAATTATGTAAATTATATATAATATAATAAAATATATTAATATAATATATATATATATTATATATAATAAATAATATATTAAATATAATATAAAATATAAAATAATATAATAGAATATAATAATTATGATAAAATATACTGATTATATAATATGTAAATATATTAAAATATAATATATTACATATAAATAAATATAATATAATAAATAATATATAAATATATTATAATAATAATATAATATACAATTAATATAATAAATATAGTAATATAATAATATAATATAATATAAATATAATATAATATAAATAATAATAATAATAAATATAGTATAATATAATATAATATAATTATAATTATTATAATATATTATATATATTATAATAAATATAATAATAAATAAATATGATATTAATATAAATATTAAAATAGAATATAAATATAATGAATCTAATGAAATATAATTAATATAATATAATTACATATATGAATAAATATGAATATATTGATAAATATAAAATAAATATTAAAATAATAGAATATAAATACAATAATTAATATAATATAATTACATATATGAATAAATATGAATATATTGATAAATATAAAATAAATATTAAAATAATAGAATATAAATACAATAATTAATATAATAAAATATATTTATTAATATAATAAAATTATTAAAATATCTATATTAATATCATATTTATTCATATATGTAATTATATTATATTGATTAATATAATTACATATATGAATAAATATGATATTAATATAAATATTAAAATAGAATATAAATATAATGAATCTAATGAAATATAATTAATATAATATAATTACATATATGAATAAATATGAATATATTGATAAATATAAAATAAATATTAAAATAATAGAATATAAATACAATAATTAATATAATAAAATATATTTATTAATATAATAAAATACAGTATATTATTATTTTAAAAAATAATATAATTGTTTCTAAGTTCTGAAATTGTTGGCTTCAGGCCTTCGGTGGTGATTTTCTTCCTGGCACAAAATATCTCTACCAAATGAAAGACCCTACTGATGGGCTTTTTGCTCTGCACATGCACAGAGGCACTCCACGCTCCCGACTCACATCTTGTCTGGGTGGAAGTGATGCAGGATGGCACAGAAGGCCAAGCCGTTGCGCCACGACGTTGTAAAGTTGGTGACGCGGACGCCGCGGTGGTTGGCCGTCACCTCCTGGCACCATTCCAGCAACGATTGGCTGCAACTCACAAGCGACGGGCTGGTGGGGGGGTCAACCTAAAAAGAATGGGGGCAAATAAGTATTATATATTACAGTAGAGTCTCGCTTATCCGACCTTCGCTTATCCGACATTCTGTCTTATTATATTACACTGTAATATTATATGCATATACAATATATTATATTATTAGCATAGCATGATATTAGTATTGCATATTACAGTAGAGTCTCGCTTATCCAACCTTCGCTTATCCGACATTCCGTCTTATTATATTACACTATAATATTATCAAGATTATATGCATATACAATATATTATATTATTAGCATAGCACGATATTAGTATTGCATATTACAGTAGAGTCTCACTTATCTGACCTTCGCATATCCGACATTCCGTCTTAGTATATTACACTATATTATCAATATTATATGCATATTATACTATTAGCATAGTGCAATATTGGTATTATATATCACAGTAGAGTCTCGCTTATCTGACCTTCGCTTATCCGACATTCCATCTTATTATATTATACTATAATAATATTATCAATATTATATGCATATACAATATATTATATTATTAGCATAGCACAATATTAGGATTATATATTACAGCAGAGTCTCGCTTATCCGACCTTCGCTTATCCGACATTCCGTCTTATTATATTATACTATAATAATATTATCAATATTATATGCATATACAATATATTATTAGCATAGCATGATATTAGTATTGCATATTACAGTAGAGTCTCGCTTATCTGACCTTCGCTTATCCGACATTCCGTCTTATTATATTACACTATAATATTATATGCATATTTAATATATTATATTATTAGCATAGCACGATATTAGTATTATATATTACAGCAGAGTCTCGCTTATCCGACCTTCACTTATCCGACATTCTGTCTTATTATATTACACTATAGTATTATATGCATATACAGTATATTATATTATTAGCATAGCACGGTATTAGTATTATATATTACAGTAGAGTCTCACTTATCCAACCTTCGCTTATCCGACATTCCGTCTTATTATATTACACTATATTATCAATATTATATGCATATTATATTATTAGCATAGTGCGATATTGGTATTATATATTACAGTAGAGTCTCGCTTATCAAACCTTCGCTTATCCGACATTCCGTCTTATTATATTACACTATGTTATCGATATTATATGCATATACAGTATATTATATTATTAGCATAGTGCGATATTGGTATTATATATTACAGTAGAGTCTCGCTTATCTGACCTTTGCTTATCCGACATTCCGTCTTATTATATTACACTATAATGTTATCGATATTATATGCATATACAATATATTATATTATTAGCATAGCACAATATTAGTATTATATATTACAGTAGAGTCTTGCTTATCCGACCTTTGCTTATCCGACATTCCGTCTTATTATATTACACTATAATATTATATGCATATAAAATATATTATATTATTAGCATAGCATGATATTAGTATTATATATTACAGTAGAGTCTCGCTTATCTGACCTTCGCTTATCCGACATTCCGTCTTATTATATTACACTATAATAGTATCGATATTATATGCATATACAATATATTATATTATTAGCATAGCACAATATTAGTATTATATATTACAGTAGAGCCTCGTTTATCCGACCTTCACTTATCCGACATTCTGTCTTATTATATTACACTATAATATTATATGCATATAAAATATATTATATTATTAGCATAGCACAATATTAGTATTATATATTACAGTAGAGCCTCGTTTATCGGACCTTCACTTATCCGACATTCTGTCTTATTATATTACACTATAATATTATATGCATATAAAATATATTATATTATTAGCATAGCACAATATTAGTATTATATATTACAGTAGAGTCTCGCTTATCCGACCTTCGCTTATCCGACATTCCGTCTTATTATATTACACTATGATAATATTATCAATATTATCAATATTATATGCATATAAAATATATTATATTATTAGCATAGCACGATATTAGTATTGCATATTACAGTAGAGTCTCACTTATCCGACCTTCGTTTATCTGACATTTCGTCTTATTATATTACACTATAATATTATCAATATTATAGGCATATACAATGTATTATATTATTAGAATAGCACGATATTAGTATTATATATTACAGTAGAGCCTCGTTTATCCGACCTTCGCTTATCCAACATTCTGTCTTATTATATTACACTAAATTATCAATATTATATGCATATTATATTATTAGCATAGTGCGATATTGGTATTATATATTACAGTAGAGTCTCGCTTATCCAACCTTCGCTTATCCAACATTCCGTCTTATTATATTACACTATACTATTATCGATATTATATGCATATACAATATATTACATTATTAGCATAGCACAATATTAGCATTATATATTACAGTAGAGTCTCGCTTATCCGACCTTCGCTTATCCGACATTCCATCTTATTATATTACACTATAATATTATATGCATATACAATATATTATATTATTAGCATAGCACGGTATTAGTATTATATATTACAGTAGAGTCTCGTTTATCCGACATTTCCTCTTATTATATTACACTATAATATTATTGATATTATAGGCATATACAATATATTATATTATTAGCATAGCACGATATTAGTATTATATATTACAGTAGAGCCTCGCTTATCCGACCTTCGCTTATCCGACATTCCGTCTTATTATATTTCACTATAATATTATAGGCATATACAATATATTATATTATTAGCATAGCACGATATTATTATTATATATTACAGTAATAATATAGGCGAGAAGGTAGTACATTTTGGCCCTCCGAGTGCACTCCAACCCATCAGTACCCCACATACAATTGGAAGCACAATAAACCCCCCAGCGAGGATTAGTTGCACATTTAGAGGGAGATTTGGGGGGCGGGAGGACTGCTGCCGCATGCCCACGATAATGAAGTCTTGGCGCTGCCATTTGTACCTTGGGTTTCCCTTGGGGAGCATCCCTATCTCCATCACAGGGCATGGGGTTCAGGACTGGAGCTTCTGGGGTACAAGGAGTCGGAAAGGTCGGGGCAATCATAGGATTTGGTGAGCAGGGAGACAAGGCTGTTGATGACTCCTCATTTCCTAATGGTAGGTCAGATCCTTCTCCGACTTTTCCACCATCAGGGATAGACCAAGAAGGGATTTCTGGACCCTCTTGGACGGTCTCTACTAATGGTTGCCTCAAAGCTTCGTTGTATGGATCTGCTTCGAATGCCTCCTCCGTAACACTTCTGGGACTTTTCCCTTCATCCTCTCCTTGGCTTGTTTCTCCTCTTTCCAAAACAGTCTGCTCTTCTAAAAGACTTGGGATGTTGCCCTCAGCAATAGTTGGGTCATCCGCCTTTTCTAGGATCGACGGGACATCGAAAAGAAAATATGGTGTCTCTTCTGCCATATCTTCCATTTGAGGCTCTTTCAAAATGAGGTTATCCCTGTCTTGTAGGTCCTTCTTGATCTGCTCTTGTTCTTCTAAAAGACTTGGGACATTGCCCTCAGCAATAGTTGGGTCATCCGCCTTTTCTAGGATCGACGGGACATCGAACAGCAGAGATGGTGTCTCTTCTGCCATAACTTCCATATGAGGTTCTTTCAAAATGAGGTTATCCCTGTCTTGTAGGTCCTTCTTGATCTTCTCTTGTTCTTCTGAAAGACTTGGGACGTTGCCCTCAGCAATAGTTGAGTCATCCGCCTTTTCTTGGAATGACGGGACATCGAGCTGCAAAGATGGCATCTCTTTTGCCGTATCTTCCATATGAGATGAAGAAGGAAGTGGTTCTTCCAAAATGAGGAGGCTGACCTTGTCTTTCAGGTCCTTCTTGACCAGCCCTTGTTCATGCCATAAGTCTGGGACTTCCATGGAGAGATCCGTTGGTGGGACGGAACCTTCTGAGATCTCTGATACTTCACAGCTCTTCACAGAGAGATCCGTTGGTGGGATGGAACCTTCTGAGATCTCCATGGAGGGATCTGTTGATGGGACAGGACCTTCTGAGATCTCCGATACTTCACAGCTCTCCACAGAGAGATCTGTTGGTGGGATGGAACCTTCTGAGATCTCCATGGAGAGATCTTTTGGTGGGACAGGACCTTCTGAGATCTCCGATACTTCACAGCTCTTCACAGAGAGATCTGTTGGTGGGATGGAACCTTCTGAGATCTCCATGGAGAGATCTTTTGGTGGGACAGGACCTTTTGAGATCTCTGATACTTCACAGCTCCTCACAGAGAGATCTGTTGGTGGGATGGAACCTTCTGAGATCTCCATGGAGAGATCTTTTGGTGGGACAGGACCTTTTGAGATCTCTGATGCTTCACAGCTCTTCACAGAGAGATCTGTTGGTGGGACAGGACCTTCTGAGATCTTCGACACTTCACAGCTCTCCAGATCTCTTGGTGGGACGGCACTCTCCAGGATCTCACATACTTGATGTTTCTCCATATTTGGCTCGCCTTCTGTTCCACGTTCCTCCTCCCATTTGAGAAGTTCTTCCTGAGGGGTCGAGGAACAGCCCTCCTGCGTAGAAGTATCTCCATAAGTCTCCTGTCTGGCATCAACCTCAACCTGTTCCCTATCTGACTCAACTTGGTGCTTACTTCCAGACTTCCCCTCCTCATCCATCCCACTCGTTGACAGGTCAACTACAGGAAGCAATCCCACACCAGAAGGCCATACACCACCATCCCCAACCATGACTTGGGAGGGAGGGACAACATCTAATGCTGCTTCGTGGTGGAACCCAATGGGCTTCACCACCGGAGACAAGGCTAAGAAAGCTGCGTCCGAGGAGGAAGACCCCGCAGGACCGATAACAACAGGGTCGTGTTCGGCCAGGCTTGCATCCTCCATAAAATACATCACTATGGGGCTTTGGAGTTTGGGTGGAGAGGGGACTGCTTCTGGAAGGCTTTGGACCTTCTCATGTTCCTTTCCTGGACTACTAGGCGCAACAGGCACAAAGCTCTGGCTCTCCAAAGGCTTTGGTGTCTTCTCCAGCCTGCGTTTTGGCACAGAGGGGGCTCCGGGCGCGGACTGCAGTATCGGGGACGTCTCTTGGGGCCTGGTGACTTCTTTGAGGGAACTCCTCTTCCTCGGTGGGGCGCACAGAGGGATCGGGTCCCGGCGTTTCCAGACATCGGTGGACCTGGAAAGGCAGGGAAGAAAGAAAGAAGCGTCCTGAGGGCTGAGGGTTCACCCACCAACCTCAGCTATGTAAACACATGTACGGTCCCTATCCTCCTATACTACTACTACTACTATTATTATTATTATTATTACTACTACTACTATTATTATTATTATTATTATTATTATTATTAGTCCCAAGGGAGATGTTGACTCTAAGCAGGAATGTGTCCAGAGGAGGGGGACTCAAAGGATCAAGGGTCTGGAGAATGAGCCCTATGAGGAACGGCTGAAAGAGCCACCTGAACATGAGGCAGAACTTCCTAAATATGAGAGAGAGCTGGGACAGCGTAGTGCGAATCCCAAGCCAAATGTATGCAATAGCAGTCTTGGCCTCCTCCTGAGCACCTGGGCCAATTGCTGGGCTTCTGCCGCTTCGGCATCCTGACGAATCAGGAGAGAGGGAGGCGGGACGAGAGGGAAACAATGGATTTTTGAGAGGATTATGGAGATTTTGAGATGTCCAAGTGGCCAGCGAGTCCCAAGGGCCTGCGAGCCAGTCTGGCTATTGTCACTGAGTGGCTGCAATAAACATTGATATTTGGCGATCCTGTCAAAATCTGGATTTTTCCCATGCTGAGAGACAGGAACAATGAGGGAATTTTAGCTGTGGTTTCAGTGGATAAAAGTTGAATCAGCAACAGATTAGGACAAAGTGTGGCTTTCCAAAGGCTTCCTTTGTCCTATTGAGATAAGATCATAAATGCCAAGTGACCGCTTCCTCTGGGGGACCAACTCCGAGACTCAAAGCAACTATGTATCTATTATTAGTATTAGAATACATTGTTGTTGTTGTTGTTGTTGTTGTTGTTTATGTATTCTCCACTTTTTCTCACCATAAGGAGATACATTAAATTCAATCAATAAATCTATACATATATAAATGTAATTTTTCGTTTGTGGGAGAAACATAACTCAGAAACCACTGAGTTTACATGAAAATTTTGAATTTATACAAAATTTTGACGCAATACACCTAAAAGTTCAAGAAGTGTCCATCACCCCTAAAAACACCAACCCCACCCCAAGAAGAACTGACTTAAAAACCCCAAAAATACACCATATATACATATACACGTACACATATACACATGCACACATTCATATACACACACGTATATACACCAAAATTCCTAAAAATCAAGCATTACGAAGCGAAACAGAAGCCTCCATATTATTTTTTCAAAAAATCCTAAAAAATTGTAATATATGCACAAACACACACAAATATACACATAAACACACATACATATACAAACACACATATACACATACACATATATAGACACAAATATGCATATAGCAAGCACACATATTTACACAATATGCATATACACATATAAATACATAAATACACAAATATATACACACACATAAATACATATATATATACACACATATATTAATAATATAGGCAAGGCAGAAGGATCTAATAATAATAATAATAGTAATAATAATAAAACCTGGGCCACAGCAACGCATGGCAGGGGATGGCTAGTACATACTCATACACTCATATACATATACACATGCATACATTCATACACACACCCCTATATATATATATATATATATATATATATATATATATATATGCACAAACACACACAAATATACGCATAAACACACACACATTCATACACACACACCTATATATATATATGCACAAACACACACAAATATACACACATATATATACAAACACACATATACACATGCACACACATATACACATACATAGACACAAATATGCATATAGCAAGCACACATATATACACAATATGCATATACACATATAAATACATAAATACACAAATATATACACACATATATACACAAATATATACACACACATAAATACATATATATACACACACAAAACACATATATTAATAATGATATAGGCAAGGCACAAGGATCTAATAATAATAATAATAATAATAATAATAATAATAATAGTAATAATAACTGGGCCACAGCAACACGTGGCAGGGGATGGTTAGTACATACTCATACACTCATATACATATACACATGCGCACATTCATACACACACATGTATCTATATATACAAACACACACAAATATAAACATAAACGCACATACATATACAAACACATATATATACAGGCACACACATATACACATTCACATATATACACACAAATATGCATATACACAAAGAAACACACAAATACATAAATATACACACACATATATACACACACAAAACACATATACACAGACTGGGCCACAGCAACGTGTGGCAGGGGATAGCTAGTACATACTCATACACTCATATACATATACACATGCACACATTCATACACACACACACGTATATATATGCACAAACACGCACACATTCATACACACACACCTATATATATATATGTATGCACAAACATACACAAATACACACATACATATACAAACACACATATACACATGCACACACATATACACGTACACATATATAGACACAAATATGCATATAGCAAGCACACATATATACACAATATGCATTTACACATAAAACACACAAATACACAAATACATACACAAATATATACACACAAATATTCACTAATATATACACACACACAAATACATATATACACACATACAAAACACAGCAACGCGTGGCAAGGGATGGCTAGTACATACTCATACACTCATATACGTATACGCATGCACACATTCATACACACACACACACACCTATATCTATGCACAAACACACAAAATATACACATAAAGACACATACATATACAAACACACATAGACACAGGCACACACATATACACATATATAGACAGAAATATGCATATAGCAAGCACACACATATATGCACAATATGCATATACACATATAAACACACAAATACACAAATATATACACACAAACACAAATATATACATTATTTTATCTTCAGGAGACAAACACACATATATACACATATACACATTATATACACACACATAAATACATATATATATACACACAAAACACATATACACAGACTGGGCCACAGCAATGTGTGGCAGGGGATAGGCTAGTACATACTCTAACTAAAAACCACAGCATAGATGTATTTCCCCACCCCGAGTATCTCGCTTCCCATTCCTCCAATGAGTAAACTTCCCTTTTTCTATATCAGGCACTCCGCCAAAGAAAGGAGAAGCAAAACTAACAGCTGTTGGACTCCTTGACACTGACCTAAGCTAGCAAAGCTCATCCTACCCAAGATGCCCAAAATAGAGGCGAAGGACGAAAGGGTGAGCCATGCTGTCCTGATCTGCAATTTTCCGGAGAAGGAATTGCCTCACAGACAGACTGGAAAGGCTTTAATTCACAAAGCATACAGTACGGTTACAAGCAAAGTTCCATCTGACAGTTGCTTTCCCTCTCCCTCCCTTTCACAGCCCCATAGATGAAAAAATCTTTCTGAAGCTTTCCAAAAAGGGTGAGCCATGCTGTCCTGATCTGCAGTTTTCCGGAGAAGGAATTGCCTCCCAAACAGACTGGAAAGGCTTTAATTCGCAAAGCATACAGTACAGTTACAAGCAAAGTTCCATCTGACAGTTGCTTGCCATGGAAACCCTCTCCCTTGCTTCGAGGCATGGCCCATTTTCATGGTTCCCCACAACACCAGGAAAGGAGATCATGACACATACCATGTTTCCAGTAAATCTCCAAATTACTCACCAGAACAGGACCCCCCCCCCCCCAAAATAGCATTACGAAACGATACAGAAGTTTCCGAGTCTTTTTGAAGCTTTGCAAAAAGGGTGAGCCATGCTGCCCTGATCTGCAGTTTTCTGGAGAAGGAATTACCTCTCAGACAGACTGGAAAGGCTTTATTTCTCAAAGCATACAGTACGGTTACAAGCAAAGTTCCATCTGACAGTTGCTTTCCCTCTCCCTTCCTTTCACAGCCCCGTAGATGAAAAAATCTTTCTGAAGCTTTGCAAAAAGGGTGAGCCATGCTGTCCTGATCTGCAGTTTTCCGGAGAAGGAATTACCTCACAGACAGACTGGAAAGGCTTTATTTCTCGAAGCATACAGTACGGTTACAAGCAAAGTTCCATCTGACAGTTGCTTTCCATGGAAACCCACTCCCTTGCTTCGAGGCATGGCCCACTTTCATGGTTCCCCACAACACCAGGAAAGAAGATCATGACACATGCCATGTTTCCAGTAAATCTCCGAATTACTCATCAGAACAGGACCCCCCCCCCCCGCCCCCCAAAATAGCATTACGAAAGAATATGGAAGTTTCCGAGTCTTTTTGAAGCTTTGCAAAAAGGATGAGCCATGCTGTCCTGATCTGCAGTTTTCCGGAGAAGGAATTGCCTCACAGACAGACTAGAAAGGCTTTATTTCTCAAAGCATACAGTACGGTTACAAGCAAAGTTCCATCTGACAGTTGCTTTCCCTCTCCCTCCCCAAAAATAGCATTACGAAACGACACGGAAGCTTCCATGTCTTTTGAACCTTTGCAAAAAGGGTGAGCCATGCTGCCCTGATCTGCAGTTTTCTGGAAAAGGAATTGCCTCACAGACAGACTGGAAAGGTTTTATTTCTCAAAGCATACAGTACGGTTACAAGCAAAGTTCCATCTGACAGTTGCTTTCCCTCTCCCTCCCTTTCACAGCCCTGTAGATGAAAAAATCTTTCTAAAGCTTTGCAAAAAGGGTGAGCCATGCTGCCCTGATCTGCAGTTTTCTGGAGAAGGAATTGCCTCTCAGACAGACTGGAAAGGCTTTATTTCTCAAAGCATACAGTACGGTTAAAAGCAAAGTTCCACCTGACAGTTGCTTTCCCTCTCCCTCCCTTTCACAGCCATGGAAACTCTCTCTCTTGCTTCAAGGCATGGCCTACTTTCATGGTTCCCCACAACACCAGGAAAGGAGGTCATGGCACATGCCATGTTTCCACTAAATCTTTGAAATACTCATTGGAACAGGACCCCCTCCCCCCCAAAAGAAAATATGACGAAACGACACAGAAGCTTCCGAATTATTGGGAAAAAAAATGAAAAATTCCTAAAAATTTGTCAGTTTTTTAAAAATTCATAAAAATCTGTAGATGAACAAATTATTTCTGAAACTTTTCAGAATTGATGCCCTTCTTATGTTGCCTCATTGTGCAGACATTAAAGTGGATATGTCTTGTGATTTCTTTTTAAAAAATTGTAAAACTGTTAATAAATTCCTTAAAAATCAGTAGACGAACGAAACTTTCTGAAACTTTTATGGATCAAAGCCCTACTTATATTGCCTAATTGTGCAGAAATTTTAGGGGATACCTCTTGTAATTTATGTTTTAAAATTTTATTTGTAAAAACCTTATTTAAAATTTCCTAAAAATCAGCAGATGGTAGAAATGTCCTGAAACTTGGCAGGCTTAAAGTCGCTAATGTTTCCTACATGTGTGCCAAGTTTCATCCTGGTAGCCATAAAAATGATGGTGAAACAAACCTCAGAATTACATTTAAAATTAGTTTTTTTATTATTGGTAAAATAATTAAAAATTCTTAAAAATCAGTAGATGACCAAAATTTCCTGAAATTTGGCAGGTTTAATGTCACTAATGTTTCGTATATGCGTGCAAAGTTTCATCCTGGTAGCCATAGAAATGATGGAGATACAAGCCTCAAGATTTCATTTTAAAATTATTTTTTATTACTTGTAAAAAAATATAAAATTCCGAAAAATTGGTGGATGACCAAAACGTCCTGAAACTTGGCAGACTTAGAGTTGTCAATGTTACTTAAGGATGTGCCAAATTTCATCCTGATCGCTGCAAAAATGATAAGAGAAACGAGCCCTGAAATGTTCCCCGTTGCCACTAATGGGACAAAACTGAACGAAACAATTACGAAGCTTTGGAGATTCAGATTACGAAACAGAACAACTCCGAATATTTACGAAATGAATAGGAGGCCATTACAATCTCTGAAACACAGTACTAATTGCACTCACCGGTCTTCTGTTCTGTGCTGAGATGCTGGTGGCCCCCACAGCAGCGCAGCCTCCTTTCCATGCGCCGCTTCCTCCTCTCCGGCCCCCGCCTGTGCCAATCCCGCAGACGTCCCTGTCGCATGGTTCCATGTGGTGCCTGGCCCTTTAAGGATGCCAGCTGCTGCTTCCGCTGCTGTTGCTGCTTCTGGACACTGACCGCCTTCCCCTTTGCGACCCACATTCCCACCGCTCTCGGCGCCACTTACTACGAAGGGGGCCACCACTGCATTGGTAGGATTCATCACTTGGCTGGCGGCAACGTTAGAGGCTGACACGGGCTCTTCCCGAACACCTGAAGAGAGGAGAAAGCAGATCCCTAATAATTCAACATTTATTTATTCTTCTGGAGTTGGAAGGGACTCTTAAAGGTAATACAGTCAAACAGTAGGACGACAGCACCAAAGCCCTCCCAACAGATGGCCAGGCTGCCTCCAAGACATCCAGAAACAGAGTTTTGGAGCAATGATCTTTGGAAAGGCATGACCTTGTTAGAAGTCATTAGGCGACCCTTGCGAAAGGGTCATTCGACCCCCAAAGGGGTCGCAACCCACAGGTTGAGAACCGCTGCTCTAGACTAACAGCTAATCCTTTCTTATCCTTTCTATCTATATGCTGCCCTCTTGCATTTCAGTGTTCCACATACCAAGCCATTTTTTCTATCTATATACTGCCCTCTTGTGGTTGGAGCTGAGCACTACATACATATATACCAGTTTACTCATTTTCGGGGCCCTAGTCCCAAAATGGAGAGGATTTTTAAGATGCAACCCAGCCAATATTTTAAGTTGGATCATGACAGGTATTGTGGTCCATGTTTGGTCCAGATCAGTCAAGTCATGTAGGAGTTTTTGTGGTACAAACCAACAAACAAAGAGCTGCTCTAGACTAACAGCTAATCCTTCCTTATCCTTTCTATCTATATGCCTGCCCTCTTGTGGTTGGAGCTGAGCACTGCATACATACATACCTGCTTATTCGTTTTTGGGACCCTAGTCCAAAAATGGGGAGGGTTTTTAAGCTGAAAACCACCCAATATTTTAAGTTGGATCATGACAGGTATTGTCGTCCATGTTTGGTCCAGATCAATCAAATCATGTAGGAGTTTTTGTGGTACAAACCAACAAACAAACAGCTGCTCTAAACTAACAGCTAATCCTTCCTTATCCTTTCTATCTATATGCTGCCCTCTTGTGGTTGGAGCTGAGCACTGCATACATACGTACCCACTTATTCATTTTTGGGGCCCTAGTCCCAAAAGGGGGAGGTTTTTAAGCTGAAAACCACCCAATATTTTAAGTTGGATCATGACAGGTATCGTGGACCATGTTTGGTCCAGATCAGTCAAGTCATGCAGGAATTTTTGTGGTACAAACAAACAAACAAACAGCTTCTCTAGACTAACAGCTAACCCTTCCTTATCCTTTCTATATATATGCTGCCCTCTTGTGGTTGGAGCTGAGCACTGCATACATACTTACCCGCTTATTCATTTTCGGGACCCTAGTCCCAAAACGGGGAGGGTTTTTAAGCTGAAAACCACCCAATATTTTAAGTTGGATCATGACAGGTATTGTGCTCCATGTTTGGTCCAGATCAACCAAGCCATGTGGGAGTCTTTGTGGTACAAACCAACAAACCAACAGTCAAGGTATGTATGTTGATTTGTTGGTTTGTTTCACAAAGACTCCTACATGGCTGGATTGATCTGGACCAAACATGGGCCACGATACCCTTCATGATACCCTTTAGATAGATAGCTAGATATACCTTTGGGGGTTTCCTTCTTGAAGGGTCTGGAAGAGGCAGAAGTTGCTGGTCCAACTTGGCTTGTGCTTTGGGAAGAGGCATCCTCCTCTTCTTCCGCCAGAGTGTTCAAATCCCTTGAAGTGTCTACGGCGGGAGGAGAAAAGAGAAGATGTTAAAGAATCCGAGAAGAAAACAACAAGGCTGGAAATACAAAAATAAATCGGGGTAAGACCTTTAAAAAGGGTAGTTAAACCATACTACCCAAAACCTCAAGCACACGCCTACCTGGGAAACAGTCCGGCAAGACGTTTTTGAGGAATCCTGAATACGGAGGACAGATACAGAAAGAGAGAAAGGAGAGTGACTACAAAGAGACGCCATGGTTAAAACTCAGAAGGGAAGGAAGAACCTGTTAGGTAGAAAAATGCTGTATAAGATAGGAATGCATTGAATGTACCTCCAGTGTGTGTTAAAATACAATTCTAATGTACATGTATTTGCCATCCTCGTAGTGTGAGTATCCCTGTATAGTGATAGCAGACTTGTAAATCGTTATATATACATATACATATATATATAAATGACTGAAGAATAAATCTCCAGAGGAGTTTGGATGAAAGCCAGAGCTCAAGTTTGCTTCTTCAAGCGGTGAGTTACTATACAAGGTCAGAGACGGATATAAATCTCTGCTAAACTGTAACCAAGACTCTGCAGTGCTTGTTGGATCGGAACAAACTCCTTGCCTTTCAGACAGTCTGTCCCATTGCGCAAATGGAGGAGCAGATTGTGGGGAGACTGAATTCATGTGCCTACCTAGCAGGGGTGTTGTGTGTATTTACTCTTCTAAGCCCACGACAGAACCACAACGTGAATTCTAAAGCGGAGAAATGATTCTAAAGCTCATGCTGAGTTTGCTTCTTCAAGCAGTGAGTTACTATACAAGGTCAGAGGCTGTGATATAAATCTCTGCTAAACTGTAACCAAGACTCTGCAGTGCTTGTTGGATCGGAATGAACTCCTTGCCTTTCAGACAGTCTGTCCCTTTGCGGAAATGGAGGAGGAGACTGTGGGGAGATTGAATTCATGTGCCTACCTAGCAGGGGTGTTCTGTGTATTTACTCTTCTAACCCCGCAACAGAACGACAACATGAATTCTAAAGCGGATAAATGATTCTAAAGCTCATGCTGTGTTAATACTCTTTCCGTCAACACTTGCAAAGACTTGTAAATCGTTATATATATATATATATAAATGACTGAAGAATAAACCTCCAAAGGAGTTTGGATGAAAGCCAGAGTTCAAGTTTGCTTCTTCAAGCGGTGGGTTACTATACAAGGTCAGAGGCTGTGATATAAATCTCTGCTGAACTGTAACCAAGACTCTGCACTGCTTGTTGGATCGAAACCAACTCCTTTCCTTTCAGATAGTCTGTCTCATACCACAGATGGAAGAGGAGACTGTGGGGAGATTGAATTCATGTGCCTACCTAGCAGGGGTGTTTCGTGCACTTACTCTTCTAACCCTGTGACAGAATGACAACGTGAATTCTAAAGTGGAGAAATGCTTCTAAAGCTCATGCTGTGTTAATGAATACTCTTTGCAGCAACATGGGAAGGATGCAGAGTTGCCTGGACTACAATCCGTACAGTGTCTCGCACAGCCTCTCTATTTAAAGTTCAGACTAAATCTCTGCTAAACTGTGACCAAGACTCTGCAGTGCTTATTGGATCGGAACGAACTCCTCGCCTTTCAGATAGTCTGTCTCATTCCACAGATGGAAGAGGACACTGTGGGGAGATTGAATTCATGTGCCTACCTAGCAGGGCTGTTGTGTGTGTTTACTCTTCTAACCCCACAACAGAACGACAACGTGAATTCTAAAGTGTATAAATGATTCTAAAGCTCATGTTGTGTTAATACTCTTTCCGTCAACACTTGCAAAGACTTGTAAATCGTTTTATATATATATATATATATATATATATATATATATATATGACTGAAGAATAAACCTCCAAAGGAGTTTGGATGAAAGCCAAAGTTCAAGTTTGCTTCTTCAAGCGGTGAGTTACTATACAAGGTCAGAGATGGATATAAATCTCTGCTAAACTGTGACCAAGACTCTGCAGTGCTTGTTGGATCGGAACGAGCTCCTTGCCTTTCAGATAGTCTGTCTCATTCCACAGATGGAAGAGGGGACTGTGGGGAGATTGAATTCATGTGCCTACCTAGCAGGGGTGTTTCGTGCACTTACTCTTCTAACCCTGTGACAGAACGACAACATGAATTCTAAAGCGGAGAAATGCTTCTGAAGCTCATGCTGTGTTAATGAATACTCTTTCCGGCAACACGGGAAGGATGCAGAGTTGCCCGGACTACAATCCGTACAGCATCTCGCACAGCCTCTCTATTTAAAGTTCAGACTAAACCTCTGCTAAACTGTAACCAAGACTCTGCAGTGCTTGTTGGATTGGAGCAAACTCCTTGCCTTTCAGACAGTCTGTCTCATTCCACAGATGGAAGAGGAGACTGTGAGGAGATTGAATTCATGTGCCTACCTAGCAGAGGTGTTTCGTGCACTTACTCTTCTAACCCCGTGACAGAACGACAATGTGAATTCTAAAGTGGAGAAATGCTTCTGAAGCTCATGCTGTGTTAATGAATACTCTTTCCGGCAACATGGGAAGGATGCAGAGTTGCCTGGACTACAATCCGTACAGTATCTCGCACAGCCTCTCTACTTAAAGTTCAGACTAAATCTCTGCTAAACTGTGACCAAGACTCTGCAGTGCTTATTGGATCGGAACGAACTCCTTGTCTTTCAGATAGTCTGTCCCATTGCGCAGATGGAGGAGGACACTGTGGGGGGATTGAATTCATGTGCCTACCTAGTAAGGCTGTTATGTGTATTTACTCCATTAACCCCACGACAGAACGACAATGTGAATTCTAAAGTGGAGAAATGTTTCTTAATCTCATGCTGTGTTAATAAATACTCTTTCCGGCAACAAGGGAAGGATGCAGAGTTGCCTGGACTACAATCCATACAGTATCTCGCACAGCCTCTCTAATTAAAGTTCAGACTAAATCTCTGCTAAACTGTAACCAAGACTCTGCAGTGTTTATTGGATCGGAGCAAACTCCTTGCCTTTCCGACATGCTGTCCCATTGTGCAAATGGAGGAGACTGTGGGGAGATTGACTACATGTGCCTACCTAGCAGACCTGTTGTGTGTGTTTACTCTTCTAACCCCGCGACAGAATGACAACATGAATTCTAAAGCGGAGAAATTCTTCTAAAGCTCATGCTGTGTTAATGAATACTCTTTCTGGCAACACGGGAAGGATGCAGAGTTGCCCAGACTACAATCTGTACAGTATCTCGCACAGCCTCTCTATTTAAAGTTCAGACTAAATCTCTGCTAAACTGTAACCAAGACTCTGCAGTGCTTGTTGGATAGGAACGAGCTCCTTGCCTTTCAGATAGTCTGTCTCATTCCACAGATGGAAGAGGAGACTGTGGGGACATTGAGTTCATGTGCCTACCTAGCAGGGGTGTTTCGTGCACTTACTCTTCTAACCCCGTGACAGAACGACAACATGAATTCTAAAGCGGAGAAATGCTTCTAAAGCTCAAGCTGTGTTAATGAATACTCTTTGCAGCAACACGGGAAGGATGCAGAGTTACCCGGACTACAATCTGTACAGTATCTTGCACAGCCTCTCTATTTAAAGTTCAGACTAAATCTCTGCTAAACTGTAACCAAGACTCTGCAGTGCTTGTTGGACCAGAACGAACTCCTTGCCTCCCGGACTAAGACCCGGAGCGGATTTGGTAACCGGTTGGTTGTTTCCGGTCCTCTTCTCCCCACCTTTAGCAGGGGTTGCCTGGCCTGCGCCATCTTCTTGCTGGCCCAATTTGGGGGCTTCATCCACAGCCGTTGCCCCTTCCTCCTCGCTATCCGCGAAGTCGTCCAGGTTGCCGATATCCGAGGGTTTGACACTCATCAGGCTGGCGAGGCTTTGCATGTCTTCGTCCCTACGGGAAAAGGGGGACAACAATGAGAAAAGTCCAACAATGAGCAACTTGTGGCCTATCCCTCCCCTCGCGTAATACTTACGTGGCTTTCCCTTCATGCAGGAAGACGCAGGAGAGCGTGAGCTGGAGCGTGGCCGCTACCACCTTCACCGACCGCGGCTTCAGCTTCAGCTTCAGCTCCACCTGGGTCGGCGTCGGGCTGGCAAACCGCTTGAGGTTCACGTCCGCCGACGCCAGGACCTTCCGCTGACCCTTCGATTCCTGCCGGGAGTGGGTGGGACAGAAGCCGAGAGAGTGACGCAGCAGCCACAAAGGCCAATCCCATTCTAGTCAAAGCCAAAGTCCCGCTTCCTTCCGCTTTGGTCAGACCTGACCTGGAGTGACCCTACTGCGGCCAGCGTCCATCACTGAGAAGGGCGACCACCATGGTCAAAAGTATGGAAACTATATATCCCACTAAGGATCAGCTTAGGGATCTGGGGATGCTTAGTTTGGTGAAGAGAAAGTGAACAGGGGACACGATAGCAGTGAAAAGGTGTCCTCTATATAATACAATAATATAATATAATAATATAATTAATTTAATACAATATAGGATATATTAATAATAATAATATAATATAATAATTAATATATAATAATATTTATTGTTTTACTATTATGTATTATTATGATTTCATTTTACATTAATACATTACAATTAATATAATAAATAATATACAATCATATATATATTAATATTATTGCTATATATTATATTATTTACCATATATACCAAAAAAATTTACCATATAATAATTATTTTATTATTTATTGTTTTACTAATATGTATTATTATGATTTCATTTTATATTAATACATGACAATATAATAAACAATATACAATCATATATATTAATATTATTGCTATATATTATACCATATAATAATTATTTTATTATTATAATACATTGTTTTACTATTATATATTACTCTATTTTATATTAATACATGACATGTAATATAATAATTAATAATATATAGTAATTAGTACAGTAATTTTTATAGTAACGAATAAATATAAGTAATGATGTTATTAAAATAATACAGTTCTCTCATTCAATGACGTCCTCCTAATAATAAGCAAATAATATAACAGATTAATAATCTAATAATAATAATGTAGTAACATACTATAATCTCTAATATAATAATACACCGCTCTGAGTCGCCTCCGGGCTGATATGAGCGAGGTAGAAATAATGCAAATAAATAAATAAATAAAAATAATCTAACAATATTATATAATAATATATACTAATAGACGAGCCAAGATGTGAGGCAGGTAAGAAATACAATTATTATTATTATTATTATTATTATTATTATTATTATTATTAACATACATTTTCAATCACAAAGGTCCACTCCTTGTCTTCATACTCCTCCACGTGAGGGTCCTGAAGGAAACGGAAACAAGAGTTACTCGGAGATCTCAAACCACCGGACTTGCATTTGACCAGTTACTATACAAGCTCAGAGACGGATATAAATCTCTGCTAAACTGTAACCAAGACTCTGCAGTGCTTGTTGGATTGGAACGAACTCCTTGCCTCTCTATTTAAAGTTCGGACTAAAATCCGGAGTGGATTTGGTAACCAGATTTCAGAGCCTATTTGGCCATCTGTCAGGAGGGCTTTGATGGTGTCTCTTCTAACCCCGCGACAGAACGACAACGTGAATTCTAGAGCGGAGAAATGATTCTAAAACTCATGCTGTGTTAATACTCTTTCCGTCAACACTTGTAAAGACTTGTAAATCGTCATATATATATATATATATATATATATATATATATATATAAATGACTGAAGAATAAACCTCCAAAAGAGTTTGGATGAAAGCCAGAGCTCAAGTTTGCTTCTTCAAGCGGTGAGTTACTCTACAAGGTCAGAGACGGATATAAATCTCTGCTCAACTGTAACCAAGACTCTGCAGTGCTTGTTGGATGGAACGAACTCCTTGCCTTCTAAAGCTTATGCTATGTTACTGAATACTCTTTCTGTCAACACAGGAAAGGTTGCAGAGTTGCCCGGATTACAATCCGAACAGTATCTCGCACAGCCTCTCTATTTAAAGTTCAGACTAAATCTCTGCTAAACTGTACACAAGACTCTGCAGTGCTTGTTGGATCGGAATGAACTCCTTGCCTTTCAGACAGTCTGTCCCATTGCGCAAACGGAGGAGGAGACTGTGAGGAGATTGAATTAATGTGCCTACCTAGCAGGGGTGTTGTGGGTGTGTTTAGTCTTCTAACCCCACTACAGAACAACACCGTAAATTCTGAAATTGGAGAAATGCTTCTGAAGCTCATGCTGTGTTAATGAATACTCTTTCCGTCAACATGGGAAGGATGCAGAGTTGCCCGGACTACAATCCATACAGTATCTTGCACAGTCCCTCTATTTAAAGTTCAGACTAAATCTCTGATGAACTGTGACCAAGACTCTGCATTGTGTGTATTTACTCTTCTAACCCCGCAACAGAATGACAACGTGAATTCTAGAGCGGAGAAATGATTCTAAAACTCATGCTGTGTTGATACTCTTTCCGTCAACACTTGTAAAGACTTGTAAATTGTCATATATATATATATATATATATATATATATATATATATATATATATATATATATATATATATATATATATATATATATATATATGACTGAAGAATAAACCTCCAAAGGAGTTTGGATGAAAGCCAGAGCTCAAGTTTGCTTCTTCAAGAGGTGAGTTACTATACAAGGTCAGAGACGGATAGAAATCTCTGCTCAACTGTAACCAAGACTCTGCAGTGCTTGTTGGATCGGAACAAACTCCTTGCCTTTCAGACAGTCTGTCCCATTGCGCACACGGAGGGGGAGACTGTGGGGAGATTGAATTCATGTGCCTACCTAGCAGGGGTGTTGTGGGTGTGTTTAGTCTTCTAACCGCGCGACAGAACGGCAACGTGAATTCTAAAGCGGAGAAATCCTTCTAAAGCTTGTGCTGTGTTAATGAATATTCTTTCCAGCAACACGGGAAGGATGCAGAGTTGCCCGGACTACAATCCGTACAGTATCTCGCACAGTCTCTCTATTTAAAGTTCAGACTAAATCTCTACTAAACTGTGACCAAGACTCTGAATTGTGTGTATTTACTCTTCTAACCCCGCGACAGAACGGCAACGTGAATTCTAAAACGGAGAAAGACTAAATCTCTGCTAAACTGTGACCAAGACTCTGCAGTGCTTGTTGGATCGGAACAAACTCCTTGCCTCTCTATTTAAAGTTTGGACTAAAATCCAGAGTGGATTTCGTAACCTGTTTGGCCATCTGTCAGGAGGGCTTTGATGGTGTCTTCCCAAGTAGCGGAATGGGGCTGAACTGGGAGATAGGGACTGTGATGCATATATTGGGTCTATTGATCTGCACATTAATACCCGATAAAGCGTGACCATGATGTCCACGTTTTCCGGAACCATCCACACCACGGTTCCCCGGTACGGATTCTTGATCCCTGGTTGCCAGCCATGGGCCTAAAAGGAGAGGGAAAACAAAATATTAATTATATATATATATATATATATATATATATATATATATATATGTAAAATATTTATATATTTATATATGATATATATATTAATATATATATATATATATATATAATATAATATAATATAATATATTTATATATACACACGAATTACCAGCAATGTATCCATAAAAATATAATAGATAATAACAATATATAATTATTGGACTCATGTAAGCCGCCCCGAGTCCCCACTACGGAGATGATGGCCAGGTACAAATAAAGTTATTATTATTATTATTATTATTATTATTATTATTATTATTATTATATAATTAATATTTTATTATTTATAAATTATTTTTATAATTTTTATCTTTTTATTTATATATCGTATTTAATTATATATATTATTTGATGTGCTATATTTTATTTATATATTATTTATGTATATATAATAAATTAGCTATATATTATTTATATAGTTTTTATTTTGTACATTTTTCATACATATATATCTAAGTATATTATTTTATGTATTATATTATTTATAAATTATTTTTATAAATTTTCTTTTTATTTATATAGAGTATTTCTATATTATTTGCATATAGTATATTAATTATATATTATTTTATGTATTATATTTTATTTCTATATTATTTATGTATATGTAATAAATTATTTCTATATTATTTATATAGTTTTTATTTTATACATTTTTCATGTGTGTGTATATATATATATATATAAACATATATTATTTTATGTATTATATTAATTATATATTATAGTATTGCATATATTAAATTATATATTATTTTATACTTTTTATAGTATTTTATATAGCATATTTAATGTATATATTCATATATAAATATATAATTTATGTATATAAATATATCGAATTTATATATTATTTTAATATTTTTATTAGTTATATATTATTTTATGCATTATATTTTATTTATATATTATTTATGTATGTATAATAAAATATTTATACATTATTTATCTAGATTTTATTTAATACATTTTTCATGTATGTATATATAAACATATTATTTTACGTATTATATCAATTATATATTATATTATTGCATATATTAAATTATATACTATTTTATATGTTTTTATATTATTTTATTTAGCATATTTAATGTATATATTCATATATAAACATATATATATATATATATTACTTATATATTTTACTTATATATATATAATATTTTACTTATATATTTATATATATATATAATTTATATATTATTTTAATATTGTATAATAATTATATATTTTTTATATATTATATTTTTATGTAAACATTGCTGGTATTTCATGTGTATATATTATATATATATATCTTATATATTATTTTAATATTGTATAATAATTATACATTGTTTTTATATATTATACTTTTATGTATGTTGTTGTTCATTCGTTCAGTCGTCTCCGACTCTTCGTGACCTCATGGACCAGCCCACGCCAGAGCTCCCTGTCGGCCGTCACCACCCCCAGCTCCTTCAAGGTCAGTCCAGTCACTTCAAGGATGCCATCCATCCATCTTGCCCTTGGTCGACCCCTCTTCCTTTTGCCTTCCACTTTCCCCAGCATAATTGTCTTCTCTAGGCTTTGCTGTCTCCTCATGATGTGGCCAAAGTACTTCAGCTTTGTCTCTAGTATCTTTCCCTCCAGCGATCCATCTTGCCCTTGGTCGGCCCCTCTTCCTTTTGCCTTCCACTTTCCCCACCATAATTGTCTTCTCTAGGCTTTCCTGTCTCCCTGTCGGCCGTCACCACCCCCAGCTCCTTCAAGGTCAGTCCAGTCACTTCAAGGATGCCATCCATCCATCTTGCCCTTGGTCGGCCCCTCTTCCTTTTGCCTTCCACTTTCCCCAGCATCATTCCCTTCTCTAGGCTTTGCTGTCTCCTCCTGATGTGGCCATCTGTAAAATAATATATAAATAAAAATATAATATACGAAATAATGTATAATTAATATACTATTTTAATATAGTATATTAATTATACATTATTTTGTATATTATATTTTTATTTATATATTATTTTACAGATGGTACATTTTTATTTCTATTGAATGCAGGTATGTGTGGCTCTGTATATATGCATGTGTGTGTTTATGTTTGTGTTTAGGACAAAGTAAACAACAAAACCACTGGACAGTATGTCACAAAATTTGGCCGCTATATATATATATATGTGTGTGTGTGTGTGTGTGTGTGTGTGTGTATATGTATGCAAAGCAAGTCACTTTCTGCCCACCTTGGAGCAGATACGCCGATTCCGCCGGGTCCAGACCACAACCAGTTTGTCCGGCTGCCTGGAATTGGGAGAAAGGAAACAATTCAGGAAAAAGGAGATAGAAGAGAGAAATAATAATAATAATAATAATAATAATAATAATAATAATAATAATAATAAATTATTATTGTTGTTATTATTACTATTATTACTATTACTATTACTATTATTTGCAATATAAGAGGGGTAGTTTTGGTGCATGGACCGGGAACGCAAAAGGAAGCCACAAAGAGGAATATTTCCTCTATTTTCCGGCCAAGGGTTCCGAAAACAGAGAAGTTCCAGGAGTCGTGCGTTGACTTTGCTTTCCGGAGAGAGTTTCTTTTCGGAGAGAGAATGTAAAGTTTATCTTATGAGTCCCAGGCATACAGGGAGCGGCTTGATCCCTGCCGCACCCAGGACTCGTGATGATGATGATGATGATGATATGCCCCACAGGCCCAGTCTTGTCCCTCCCGTTGCCTTCTTCCAATCCTAGGATTGAAAGGGAACCCTGAAGGTCATCTAGTCCACCCTCCAACTCCTATTGTGCAAGAAGGTACCATCAAAACCCTCCCGACAGATGGCCATGATGCCTCCAAGACCTCCACTGGACTCCCTGGCTTATATTCCACTGGAACGGGTCCCTAAAGGTCATCCAGTCCACCCAACAACTCCTATTGTGAAAGCAGTCACCATCAATGCCCACCCGACAGATGGCCATAATGCCTAAAGGTAATCCAGTCCACCAACCAACTCTTATTGTACAAGAAGACACCATCCAAGCTTATATTCCACTGGAAGGGGTCCCTCAAAGTCATCCAGTCCACCCACCAACTCCTATTGTGCTAGGAGACACCATCAAAGCCTACCCGACAGATGGCCATGCTGCCCCCAAGACCTCTACTGGACTCCCAGGCTTATATTCCACTAGAAGGGGTCCCTAAAGGTCATCCAGTCCACCCACCAACTCCTATTGTGCTAGGAGACACCATCAAAGCCCTCCCGACAGATGGCCATGCTGCCCCCAAGACCTCTACTGGACTCCCAGGCTTATATTCCACTAGAAGGGGTCCCTAAAGGTCATCCAGTCCACCCACCAACTCCTATTGTGCTAGGAGACACCATCAAAGCCCTCCCGACAGATGGCCATGCTGCCCCCAAGACCTCTACTGGACTCCCAGGCTTATATTCCACTGGAAGGGGTCCCTAAAGGTCATCTGGTCCACACAACAACTACTACTGTGCAAGGAGACACCTTCAAAGCCCTCCTGACAGATGGCCATGATGCCTCCAAGACCTTGACTGGACTCCCAGGCTTATATTCCACTAGAAGGGGTCCCTCAAGGTCATCCAGTCCACCCACCAATTCCAACTGTGCAAGAAGATACCATCCAAGCTTATATTCCTCTGGAAGGGTCCACTAAAGGTCATCCAGTCCACCCACCAACTTCTACTGTGCAAGAAGAAACCATCAAAGCCCTCCCAACAGATGGCCATGATGCCTCCAAGACCTCCACTGGACTCCCAGGCTTATATTCCACTAGAAGGGGTCCCTCAAGGTCATCCAGTCCACCCACCAACTCCTATTCTGCAAGGAGACACCATCAAAGCCCTCCCGACAGATGGTCATGATGCCTCCAAGACCTCTACTGGACTCCCAGGCTTATATTCCACTAGAAGGGGTCCCTAAAGGTCATCCAGTCCACCCACCAACTCCTATTGTACAAGAAGACACCATCCAAGCTTATATTCCACTGGAAGGGACCACTAAAAGTCATCCAGTCCACCCATCAACTCATATTGTGCAGGAAGACACCTTCCAAGCACTCCTGACAGATGGGCATGATGCACCCAAGACCTTGACTGAACTCCCAGGCTTATATTCCACTGGAAGTGGTCCCTAAAGGTCATCCAGTCCACCCAACAACTACTATTGTGCAGGAAGATACCATCAAAGCCCTCACGACAGATGGCCATGATGCCTCCAAGACCTTGACTGGACTCCCAGGCTTATATTCCACTAGAAGGGGTCCATAAAGGTCACCCAGTCCACCCACAAACTCTTATTGTACAAGACACCATCAAAGCTTATATTCCACTGAAAGTGTCCACTAAAGGTCATCCAGTCCACCCACCAACTCCTATTGTGCAAGAAGGTACCATCAAAGCCCTCCCGACAGATGGCCATGCTGCCCCCAAGACCTCTACTGGACTCCCAGGCTTATATTCCACTGGAAGAGGTCCCTAAAGGTCATCTGGTCCACCCAACAACTCCTATTGTGCAAGAAGAAATCATCAAAGCCCTCCCAACAGATGGCCATGCTGTCTCCAAGACCTCCTAGGTGTCCATTCCACTGGAAGTGGTCCCTAAAGGTCATCCAGTCCACCCATCAACTCATATTGTGTAGGAAGACACCTTCCAAGCGCTCCTGACAGATGGCCATGCTGTCTCCAAGACCTCCCAGGCTTCTATTCCACTGGAAGTGGTCCCTAAAGGTCATCCAGTCCATCCACCAGTTCCAACTGCGCAGGAAGAC